AGTAAAACTTCTGGGTTCCTCTTTATTATAACTATGGTTCTAATATGCAGTAACAAATTCCTTGGAACGGCTCGTTTTTAGAAGCTTAAAGTCGTTCATGCTATCGATAAACACCCCGACTTTCATGAGATGCGAAGGTGTTTGTAATAACCAGCCACATTAACCCATTTCCGAGCGGCATAAATCCTGTCCACTTTTATACACGCTGCTTCTTTCTAATCTGTTCTATTCATATTATCCTCCCATCTACACCTAGACTCACGGTTTGTGTTTTGGACACCGTGAAAATCCAAACTGAGCGTTAAACTACAAATTTGGAAATTAGGATATGATAAAGGTACAGATATTTTCTTGAAGGAACTTCAAATTTCGGCAATTATTTTCATTCATTAACGGCGCATGTGCACAGGGCAAGTTTCAATCTGCCATCACTTTCCGCCAACTCCCTGTAACATGAGACTGTATAGCTCAGCTATTAAGACGCTATGGGCCAGACGGCCAATTCCACGCACCCCGAGTCCCACCCAGACGCTTATCCAATATTTATCGGGGCTCTCTCCCCAGGAGTAAGGCGGTCCCAAAAGTGAAGTTGACCACTCGTGGCAGTCGTAATCAAATTGCACGCTTCACGGCCATGGAGGGACTTCATTTACCTCACCGCGCGGCTCCAGCGTTGCTAGCTTTCCTACGGTGCGAGTTCTGAGCTGTCTCTACTCGCCCGGAGTCCGCTGTTCGTGTTGTGATCTTGAACCATGAAATTTAGTGACGGCTACTATCGTTAATGCTTATCCTTCTTTGTTTAAACTGCTCACAACAAAATTTACTGCCAAATACAACTTTAACGAAGCATGTTTTTTGACACCAGACCAGACAAAACTACACAGGGCAGCACAAAATACATACGCTGGCCGAATATGACCCGTGAATGATAACCCCTCTTTCATGTCTGTGACCTGGTTCGTTTATGTGATCGCTATTTAGCAGTGTTTGAAACTTTGTTAGTATAGTTTTCTCTCTTATCTAGGAACATTTAAAATTTCGCAGGAGTAATGAACACATTTGAAAACTATGTGGATTTAACCTTTCCAGTCTTGTTCAGCTTAGTCAGGGCGGAAAAATGACCCCCTCTGACCATGGTCATTCACAGTATATCACACTTATTTCAATTTCAGGTGAAGGGAACCCCCTGGGAGGGCAGCAGTAGGACCGTGGCCCTATTGTGGAGCAAAGAACTTCAAAATAAAAAGAGAGTTTCAAACCAGCTCATGCACATAACAGACTGGTTACCGACTTTATACACGGCTGCTGGTAAGAGATTTCCTGAGTTTCGATTGATACCTGTTGCCTCTTTGGAACCCTATTAACATCTTAAGAATTGATTATTATTATATATCGACGTGGAAGTGTTCACTTTCCGTTAGGTACAACCGTCTTGAGACGCCATCTGGCCAAGGCTATAATCATTATTTGCAAATGGCAAAGATTGGCCGATATATGAATGCCACCAAGGGTTTGGAACTTGTATAAAACTGAACTGCGATATTTGATAAACAAAAATATTTATGTTCTAGGAAGGGCGTGTTCATGAAACTCATTTCGATATCTTGTACTTCCTTGCCGAGATTATGAACTTGCAAATTTCACTAACAACGTTACCTCTGCTGTATGCATGACCAGTAAATCTTGCGTGGTGATAAATCTTTGGAAGAAAAGAGATGTTTTATAACCGCGAGAAATATTTTATTCGATCGTGATAATTATTGTGTTAATATACACTGTTAAGTGACTCACATCAGCCACGGCAGCCGAGTCTTGAAAGCTTCTGCGTAGCTATTGCCACGTGTCGTATCAGAGAAAAGGTGTATAAGTATTTAGTTACTTGAAGATTTCTGTCTTCTGGGTTGTTGTGCCGTGTAGTCTGCAGCAATCATCAGACTCACCGCTGTGGAAACTTCAAATCTTATATAATCAGTTACTTCAAGTGTGAAGCAGACGCCATTTGTTTCTCTCTCTCACTCACTCTACTCCACCTCCTTAATTCGCGTCTGTCTCTTTAGTCGCATGACTATTATGGCGATCAACAAGCAGGAATTCGTGGGCAGGGTTATGAGAAATCCATAGTCTAAAGCACATAACATACCAATCGGAGAACAAGAAAGGAAGATAACACTTTGGAGACTCGGTCTTAAATTGGAAGATATAATTGAAATTGATATCGAGGTTAAAGGCAGCCGTGGCACGCAGCTGAAAATTTAGGCTACCGTACGGTATTTCATTAGCATTCTGATGTTATTGCAGGAGGGGACGTTTCGCAATTGACGGGTATCGACGGGGTGGACATGTGGGATGCTATTTCCCGCGACCTCCCGTCACCTCGCACGAGTCTGCTGCTCAATATCGACGACAGCAGTGGGTACTCGGCCCTGCGGTTGGGAAGATACAAGTATGTCAATGGTGAGTGGAAACAAAGCGTTGAAGCAAACGCCTGTTTCGTTTAGCTGGTTAAATTCTTCTCCTTTTATGAAACCAGAAGGCTAATTATAGTGCCTATGTGGTCTTCTGGGTTATAACGTCAGGTGGATTTCTAGTAGATACCAACGTTTCTGATGAACATATAAAACGCCCCCTACTTCAGTCCTAAGGATCGAAAACTTTACCGCTGTAAGAACATCAAATATAGAGTACGTTCATTTCATAAATTTATGCCCCTGGATCAGCTGAATCCGGTCAACATCCTCATACCCTATTTCTGTGGGATCTATTTTAATACTATACTCACCCCCTCGGTATCCAAAGCTGCCTCTTCTCTTTTTTTCCTCACAGATATAATATTTCTTTCTCGATGTTTATGTTGCTGACTTCAAACAACTTATAAGACAAATGTTTTATAATATAGGTTATAGACACCAAAAATGAAGTTTAATCTAAATATGGTCTGAGACAGTAGTTCCCAAATTCTGTAATTAATGCGAAAAAAGAAGTTCGAGGCCACGAATCTATAATAAAAAAAGACTTAAAATGCTGTTTAGCGTCTTCAAAAAGTAATTGCTGTTATGTACTTCTCATATTAAATTATATATGACATGTTGTGGCCTTTTCTTAGAAATGTTTGCTATAATTATGGCATTATCCCCGGAAAGGAAAAGCTTCTACTTTGGTAATCGCTGGCTTGGGACATGAAATTCGCGTTTTGCATCGAATGCGACGGTCAGATCCAGTTCAGTGACAGTTATTCTTTGGTTCTAGGGAGCTTTCTGTTTGGAAACCTGGACACGTGGACCGAAAACCCGTGTACTGACGAGGACGATCCTAGGTACGACACAGCAGCAGTTCTGAGTAGCTTGACGGCCGACGCTGTCGCATCCTGCACGGCTCCAGCTACCAGACACGATCTGGAGGAACTGCGAATCCAAGCTACGGTCCGTTGCAATGCTCCGGCCCTCAAGCCCTGCAGACCCTTACAGCAGCCCTGCGTCTTCGACGTCCTGTCAGATCCTTGCGAGAGGCAAAACCTATACCAGAAGAATAGTGACACGCTGAAGCTTCTGGAGATGACAATGGCAGCCTATAGGCGCACTGCGGTGAAGCCTAACAACAGGCGTTCTGACAAATTTGCTGACCCAAAGTATTGGAATAACACGTGGACCTACTGGCAGGATCTCCCATTTCCTTTGATCACAAAAGGACACGGAAAATAACATAGCATTATGCAAAAACTAGTTTTAAGTTTGTGTCTAATTTCCCACAGCCATTTTGTTCAGTAATGGCGTAAAATATCTGACATATTCACAAGTATTTTTTTAAAAGTATGTGTGGACATCCATGTATGTATATTTGTATGTGTATGTATTTATGTATGTGCATGCATGTGTATATGCTAATCTAAACTGTGTGCAATTTCAGATAGTCAACTTGTGACAAAGGTTCAGTCGACATAAGTTCGGATATTTATAAATAAAAAGGTTTCTTCTTCTGTATGAATTTAGCATCAGGACTACTGGACGAAACTTGATTAAATTTGATAGGCGGCGTTTACAACAAGATAACTGAATTAATTTCTTTTCAGTTCATATCGTGCCAACATTACCTATTAATTTAAAATAAGTTCAAATACGACTTCACCTGATTTTCCCAGAACGGTCCATCCTATAACAACATTCGCTATATTAAACATGAATATCAACAAGATTACGTTTTAAGCACAGCTTCGTTAATAGTTGAAGTGAGACTCATGTGAATTAGGAGTTAGATCGAACTTAGATCAATTCTAAAGCTTTTACTGCAAACCGCCAACACAAAATCTAAACCGAAATGCGTTCAATAGTTTTCAAATTGACACGCAAATATTGCGGCAACCTTTTACGAAAGAGTTTCCGGGACCCCCGTGCATGTGACTTATTAAGCCCCCTGTAACGTCTGGACACCTGCGTGTGTACTGTAAGTTGAATAACGGACAGTTTTAATGTTTACGCACTCATCAGATGATACGGAGATCGAGGTGAATACTCTAAATCCATATCAAACACTGTATCTGATAAGACATAAGTGTGCATTTAACTAATTAGCGCAGTGACTTAATAAAAATGCTTATGTTTTGTCGTAATTTTTTTCAGGGCTCGTTTAGGGGCCAACGTACGTCTGTCTGACCCCAATCGCATCGATTTTTAATAAAACAGGCATTATTTTGAAGATTTTAATTCAACTCGGTATGAACATCATGCCAATGTGTGTTTATTTTTGTACATTCTGTGATTATGCGAGTATGCGTGAACAGAGAAGTACTGCATCTAGCTGCGATACCACCTCAGAAATTCGCATAATCACCATGTGAGTATTACTTATTGAAGGAAATCAGTAAGTATAAAATTGGGGCGGCCTACAGTGGCATGATATTCATACCGAGTTGGATGAGGATTTTTCTGTAAACCGCTGAAAAATTTGTTTTATTAATTAGGAAAATTCACGCGGATATGACCATCCATTAGCATATCTTGAAGATTTTAATTCAACTCGGTATGAACATCATGCCAATGTGTGTTTATTTTTGTACATTCTGTGATTATGCGAGTATGCGTGAACAGAGAAGTACTGCATCTAGCTGCGATACCACCTCAGAAATTCGCATAATCACCATGTGAGTATTACTTATTGAAGGAAATCAGTAAGTATAAAATTGGGGCGGCCTACAGTGGCATGATATTCATACCGAGTTGGATGAGGATTTTTCTGTAAACCGCTGAAAAATTTGTTTTATTAATTAGGAAAATTCACGCGGATATGACCATCCATTAGCGTATATTACCTTATGAAAAGATAAAAGTAGACTAAAATTATGTCCCGTTAAACCGTTGAGATTCGTGTCTTGATTGCATACGATCGGGTTCAGAAGGTAGACCATTGTTCTAGGTATTTTTATTTTTACATGGAAACGTTATGTTAGTTCCGGGCAGCGGTCAACTGCGTGGAACCTTGCGTGAATTCCATCCATGCCATTGTAATCTTAAGGTTAATTGATGACTATAAAACACACAATTAATGCGTAAGAGATTTTATTTTGTAGGCATTGTATACAGGACCTTGTCGGTTTACCACGTCTGTTATTTAGTTCAAGGTAAAACGCATGTACGTAACATAATTCTTGTCAATATGAGCCCTACACACGTCTTAATTTTCATTACTTTTTACAAAAAAAAAAATTATTTCTCCGAAGTCTACAGAGTCTCTGGGTAAAGCCAGGACACACGTGATTAGCCAACCGTTTGCTGTTTACGGCACGTCGTTGTATAAATTGTTGAGGTTATGTAGCGGTGAATAAGTCGACAGGACGATTTTATCGATGGATCGAGAATAATATACTCCTTCTCTGTTTTTAGATTCTACACCGGCATTCTAATTATAAATTTAAAAAATACTGTGCTTTACTGTATGTCAAGTATTGATACATAGCTGATTACAAAATTTCTTACCTTTCATGGAACCAAAACTTCCATTACCTGGCTCACAATAATATTCTTTAGACTCTATTCAGAACAAATTACATTCAGACCACGTTTTCACACCCTAGTTCTCTCAAATATACTTCAATATCACTCTGTTATTTATACCTAGGTCTCCCAAGTTGTATCTTCTCTTATAGTTACCAACTATAGTGTGTATGCATAGCTCACTAACCCCATGCATGTACGGGAGGTCCAGGGTTTACATCTTATCCCGGTATATCCCGAATACCGGGTATCTATTGCAATTCAAATAATTTATGTAAATGTTTCTTATGTATTTATATATTATGTTTTTAAAAACCTGTTTTTCAAACACTGTTCATTCGGTAGAATTTTTCTAACAAAGAAACTGAGACTTTTGCAGGAACAGCGTACTTCTTTAGACAATAATTTTTGATCAGGTAGTCAATAAATTTACAGAATATTATGGAAATCGAAGGTTCATTACCACGCTCACATTAGGACGCTACTGAACCATGTACCAACCTATACATATATTTATTCAACTTGAGACAGGTCTTTAAAAATACAGAAAGAAAAAGTACATACTGGCATATAAACTCAAAATACTTAATGACATCACTTCCTTAGAGAAAACAAATTACAGCCGAAACATTTTGTGTGAATCCACCTACGAGTAATCGCCCTGGTGAACAAAGAACAATGACGTCATATCGTCTCGCATTTTGCTACATTATTTACAGGAGGTGCTTCATCGTCAGCTGAGCACTTCAGATAATCACAGCAGCTGAAATCAAACATTCTTGACTTCTATATCCGGTCGTTAATGGCCAAGAAGATATATTGAAAAGAACAAAGCATGCAAATTATTAGCCCACATTTTGCATCAAAATATTATGGAAACAATTTGTATTATCGTAATATATTAGTTATTGTAGTTTGTGTCTTATGTTGATTAAAGACAGTATAGCCTTTATGTAGGATTTTAGGTTTTCGCGGCGGTGAGTCTGAAGATGGCTGTCTTCTGGGTT